ACCCTAACACTAACTCTAATTTAGGCTGAGTATTTGATTTTTGATTATGTGATGTGATAATCATGAAGATATCATTAGTTCAGTGATTTTCAATCTTCACTTTATGAATTGAAATTCTATTTTAAAAATAATATTATTGGTATTTTTAAAAATATAGCATTATAGTATTTTTTTTTTAGTATTAAAATGATTTCTTGATTTTCAATTATAGGTTAATTTTTACAGTATGCTGTAGTACTTGCCACCTTATATTATATATATATTTAGAAGATACATACTAACTATATATATAATTTTTGATTGTTTATTTAAATAGTCTGCTTATAATTAAGTTTTACATTAGATATTATATCTATAATCTAACTAGCAAGTTATTTATTTAAACTCTTTATATCTATATAGATTATCTTTTAATTAAATAAAAATACTAATATTTTTTATTTTTAAACATCAAATTTAAAATTTTAAAGTAAACTCTATCTTATAAAGAGCTTTTTATCCTTAAGAATTAACCTGCTAAAGCTTTTTATTTTTTTATTTTTTTTTTACTTTAGCAATCCTACTTTTATTTTATAAATCGAAAATAGATTACAAAATATCCTCAGTTAGTTAAACCTATATGCAAATTGTTAAACTATTATATTCCTGTCCAAATAAAGATTCTCTCAATCTGTCTCATTATTACAATAAAAATAAGATAAACCTTAAATTTTATACTAGAGTATAACCCAGGAGTGACCTGTTTAAGTGACAATTTTTCTTCTTTCAGGATCCTTAACTTATTGAAGATATGAGCTCTAAATATCAACAGATAGAAGCACTTACCTTGTCAGAATCACCACTCTACAATAGAGTGCTGCTAATCTGATAATATTTTCTCGTAAAGAAGTAAAAAAGAAAAAAAAAAGATGAGGGTAAAATAAAAATGAAAAAAGTAAAAAAGAAATATATAAGAAAATGACCAAAATACAAAGGAATTAAAAAGAATATTTTAAAATCTAAGAGAACTTGTCTGCAAATATAAAAACCTGCTAGCTAGATAAAAAACTATCTACATGATCATAAAAATCTATATATTGAGCTATCTAACAAAAAAAAACTAGAAACTAAAATATACTTTAATCTATATTAAGGGCTAAAAATTATATACATATAACTTCAAAATACTGCATATCTCTAATATATCATTCTAACTTGCAACTCTCATTTAAATCCATCTTAAATTCTAGAACGCTGATTTTAAAGTTTTGATACATAATCATTGGTTCTATTTATAATAGGCCACTCTTTTCCAAAGCCTTTTATAGTTTTTTCTATTAAGCTTGCTTCTTTGTTATATAAGATTAAACAAAGAGTCTTTTCTGTAGTCTATTGATATCATTGGAAGCTACTTTCTCAGATTCATCGCATAAGATCTTTATTCCTATATAGTCAAAACTGATTCAAACACAGACTTTAACGTACTTTGATCTAATTCAAACAAAACTTCTTGCTTACACGTGATTGTTGTATTCTTTATCTGTTATATTATAACTCGAAACTTTCTAAAAATAAAAGTGATAATTATTGCTAATCTTTTGGAGAGGGGTAGCCAAATCTCTTACTTTTTAATGAAAATTATGAAAAAAAAAGTAGCAGGAGAAAAGTATAGTTTTGTAAGTTTTCCAACCAAGAAATATTATTTTAAAAGTTCTTTATAGTCTTCAATTCTCACAATAACTTAAGTCTTCTTTCTACTTACTGTTCTTAGAGACTTCTCCAATTTGAATACTGAATACAAAAAGGGGTCTACCCAAGAGAAAAAAGAGCTTGACCTCTTTGCAAACTATTCAAAACGTCTGCTTCTTAGTGTATCACATTAAAGACTTCGTTAACATCAGTTTGTATTAAGAAAACTACAAGTTATTTGTTTACTTTTAGTCTTAAATCTTCTACTTACTTTCAGGTACTAGTTGGTACAAGTAATCATTAGAGAGAGTTGGTGTCAATTGCCTGCTAAAGCTTTTTATATTTATAGTCTAGCTAATTTAGATTTTAATAATTTATACTGAGTCTAAAAACAAGTACTTGTAGTCAATCTTTTACTTTTATTATAATTATTTATTTATTTTTTTTTTAAAAAAATATTAGCAGCCTCACCAGTATCTTTATTAGATCAAAGAAAATATACAAGACATTCTATAACAATTTAAGTTATAGATCTGAAATCACTTAGCCTTCTTAAAGAGTGCCCAGGTGCAGTCTGTTTTACTAGTTAAAGCTATTGCCTATATCAGAGAGCTATACCAAGCTAGCCAGTAAACTATAGCAAGATTACTAGAATTCTTTTGTTTATATTTATATTTTCTTCTTCTCTTCTTCTAGTTTAGTATATTTTTTCTGATAATTGACCTAGCTCTCAGGATTTTCTTATATTCATTTTAATGATCTTTTCCTCTTACTTTGCAGTACTGTAGTGTTTTTCTACTTCTTAAGAGCTTCTTCTACTAAGCTTTTCTAGATGTATTCTTTCTTTTTTTCAAAGTCTTGGGCCTTCCTTTGGTCTTTTCATTTCTGAGTCTTGGATAGTTTGCTCAGATTCTTTTTCTTTCATAGTTTGGGTTTGTAGATCTTCTTTTTTCCTCTTTTTTATCTTTTTTCCTACTAGACTTCGGTTTTTTTTCCAAAAATTCCTCTTGAATTTCATTCTGTATACTTCAGTTTTTAAAGATTTCTACAAAAATCTTCTCTAATATCTTTAGTAATATATTCTTTTTCTTCTTTTTCTAGTTCTTGGCTTCTTTTTGTCTATATGTTGATATATCTTGAATTTATTTCATATCAAAGTTTCTTTAGGCCTTCAAACACTATATCTATTTATAAGTAGATTTTTCTTTTTATTTTTTATATTTTACTATCCATCTGTGAGTTTTTAATACTTATTTAATATATTACTTTGATCAATCATTCTGTTGGATTTGTTACTTTAACTTTTGGTTCTGGATCTTCTTAGATTTTGTCTAGAGTTTCTATTTTGACAAAGCCTTTGGTCTTTTGTTTTCTAGCTTTCTTTTTTTTTTTTTTTTTGGTCTTTCTTTTTTTCTTTCTTGTTTTGCTAACTCTAGTTCAGCTGATACTTTAAAATTTACAACCAAAGTCCTTAATTCTATTTCATTATTTTGTTTTTATCAAACTTTTCTTTGTTCTTGAAGTTTCTTGCTTCAGCCTGCTTCCAATTTTGACTTTATTTTAGCTGTTTGTTTTTTCTTTTGCAGGATTTGTATCTTTTTTTCTTTTGCTTTTTTGATTTTCTTCTTGGTCTCGTGATATGCTGCTGTGGAAAACTTGACAAATTCTTTGAATTGTTGTACTATAGATTTCAGAGCTGTTTTTTTATGCTATTTTTGTCAGCTTCTTTTTTGTTTTTAGAATCTCTTGCTCTAACCTGATTCTATTTTCATCTTTACTTTAGCAACTTGTTTTTCTCTATCTATTAGTATTTTTCTTATTTTATCATCTAGTTTTACTTTTACTATGATACTATATATTTCTTCTTTTATAATACAGTTAACAGAGTCTTCACCATCTTGCAATACTTTATGATAAACCTTGTGGTCTCTTTTTATAAGTGCAGATGTTGTGTATTTTAATTCTCTTCTGCTATATCACTATAGCTCTTTATAGAGCTCTTTTATTTGTTTATCAACAATTTCTTTTAAAAAAAGCTTCTGTTCTGTATATTCTGCTATTATTGATTTTACATATTTGTCTATATCTTTCTCAGGTATTTCTGCTATTAAGGTCTGGATTTCTTTTAATACTACTTTTATATTTTCAGGTATTTTAACTTTTTTTTCTAGATACTCTGTTAATATTTGCTTTATGTAATTTGTTGTTTTTCTATTGTTGTCAAAAAATATTATTGTATGCTGCACATGTTTAATAGCTTTGTTTACTTTTATCACATGGTTTTTGTTGTGTTTTATTTGTTTACTTTCCATTACATGTTGTAATTTTGTATCACCAAAACAGATCTATGATTTAGAGTCAAGGCCGATTCCTCAAAAATTCATAAAGTGCAAAAAAATATCAATGATTTTTCATAACTTCTTCTATTTTTTGCTGGTTCTGCTTCTTCTACTCAAGTCTTCTAAAAAACTAAGTGTTTTTTGTAATCCTCTTTCTTTTTTCTTAGAGCTCTGAATTTAGTTTCCTAATAGCCTTGATATATTTCTTGTTGCTTTTGTTGTTTTGTTTTTTCTGAAAATTTGTGTTTTGATGATTAGTGAAAAGAGTTGATGTTGAATTTATGAATAAATTTATTAAATTTATAAGGGACATGACAAAAATTAGGGGATTTTTTAGGGAAGGAGGGGTAAAAAATTTAAAATTATATATAAAGACCTGATCAAAATATATAGTAAGAGAGAGGAGAGGGAGTAAGTCTCTGATAAAAAAAAATCAGATAATAAATGACACTGCTCTAATTATTTACTTCTGTTTTTGTAAAGTTTACTCAAACTTTAGTATTTTTCTTCAAGTCTATCTAGTATTTTTTATTTTTAGTACCTCTAGTTAGTCTTTTTAAATTATTAATTCAGATAGTTTAAAAGAAATATCAGTTCTTTAATATCTACTTTATTAGATTTTTTCTTTAGTTAATATTCTAATAGCTTAGTTAATAGAGTATCTTTACTAAATATTTAGTTTTTATTTAGTTGTATTAGCTTTAAATATAATCTATTTTAGTAGTGCTACTAAAAGTTTGTACTATTTCTTTATTAACCCTTAAACCGTCCAGCGGGCAAATTTGCCCACTAAAAATTTTTTTATTTGATTGCTTTGTAATTGCACCCGATTTTATTATAGTTTACCCACCCTTTATTAAGCCAAAATAGAAGCTTATCACATTATTGATCATCCATAAATTCCATGTTGCAGTGCTTCCAATATGTTAGACGCAACGTTGATCAGAACTTTGAGTAACTTGATCATCAAAAAAAAAAAAAAAATTTAACCTTTTACAAAGATATGCCTAAAAATCCGAGTTCGTCATTTTCGAGATTGTCATCTTTGGGTTCGTCATCTTCGGGTTTGTCGTCTTTGCGTTTGTCATCTTTTTATTTTGAGAATAATGAAATATACGCCGACGATGAAGAATATGTACCAATTTTGTTATTTCGCGAGCATTATTTGGACAATATGGAGTCTGATGAATACGACAACGAGGATGAGGAGGAAAATGCTATGGAAATAAACACTAGAAGTCGAAAAAGGAAACGTAAACCAGCAAGTGCCATGCAACAAAAATTACCACCACCGCCAGACTTTGAACCACTTGTTCAAAGTCCATTTCGTTGAGCGAAGATCCGGTTACCACCACACTTTGATGTCGGTATTTCTAAACTGATCGATTTTTTTTTTTTTTCTTTACAGACAATATGATTAACACAATTGTGGCAAATACTAATCAGTATGCATCAACAAACAATGCCGGTGTCACTGGTAGGCAATGGGAGGATGTAAACTGTAAGAAGGTTGTTACTTGAATTGCTCTTGTAATTTACCAAAGGCTATTCAAATTACCATCGCTAAATCAGTACTGGAATGAGGACCCAAGGCTCCCCATTCATCATATTTCATTGAGCAAATAAAAAGGTTCCTGCATATTTTGCTCCTGGTCCAATAATTAAAAATTATTTTGAAAAGGTAGAGCTGTTACTTTCGTATATCCATGATGCCTCCAAAAGGTATTACGTACCAAGTACGAACATTGCAGTAGATAAAATGATAATTCAGTTTTCTGGAAGAAGCGTCCACATGGTCAGAATAAAGAACAAGCCCACTCCGGAAGGTTTCAAGATTTTTTCACTTTGTGAATCTGGGTAACGTACACCTTCCTGCCAATATCACGTATTTCTCTGAGTGAAGTAGAAAAAGTGAATGGCCTTGATCAAATTAGTTGTTTAGTATTGCATCTTGTTGAACAACTTCTGTACCACCAATTCCTGTTCAATATATACATGGACAATTATTTTTCTAATGTATCTCTTTTTCAGTATCTTTGGCGAATTGGCATTGGAGCTTGTGGAACCATCCGAAAAACATCTTCCGGGTTTCCAAAAAAACTAAAGGTAGATAAAAATATCAAATATGATTGGGATGTATGTTCTGGCGTTGTAGTAGATGGTGCGTTGGCTATCTTCTGGCAAGATAATGGGCCGGTTATGATGTTAACTACGATTCATGGTCTTGCTGGCAATGAATGGGAAGTAGAACGAGTAAGGCGTCGACCAAGAGAAACAAGTACCAATGCAGCAAAGGTGCACGTGGTATTTGGATCTGAGTCAAAAAAAAAATTAAAGATTCCAAAGATAATCGATGACTACAACAACAACATGAACGGTGTAGATGTTGCTGACCAACTGCGTTCTTACTACAATACCCAGCAAACAGCTAGGCGAAATTGGTTGCCTCTGTTTTTTTGGCTGCTGGATATAGCCATAGTCAATGTGTATCACATCACTCACACCTTGGGGTCGGTACAAAGCTATAAAGAATTTCACACCAAACTTGTTTGGGGTCTAATTGATTTGGCTAACAAAGTTCAATTAAGGAATAATACAGAAAAAAAAAAAAAATCGATTATTCAAAAAAAAAAAAATGAAACGACCAAAGGTTACAAAAAAGTATGTACTTCTGGTCAACGGTTGGCGTCTGGGAATCATTTTGTAGTGTGAAAGAAACAACGAGAAGGGTGTCAATGGTGTGTGTGGCTAGCAAGCAAAAAAAAATTAAATATGGATCGTAAAACACCTCACCAGAGTCAGGTTTGGTGCGTGGTATGCAATGTGTCTTTATGTTGTAATAAAAAGCAGAATTGTTTTATTGAGTTTCACACTGAATAATAAAGTGATTTTTAATAAAATGAATCTTTAAATCGTTAGCTTTATACAATAATTTTTTTTTTTAATGATCTCAAATTTAATTAAATTGATGGGTCATGAGAACTTAATATTAAATAAGCTTTTTATCATAATGCAGTCTTGATTTGAAAAATAGGTAATTATGGTATTATTTTTTTTTTTTTAATATAAATAAGTAGATTAGATTTTTTTTTTTTTTTTACTAAATTTTTTTTTTTCTTGACAATAAAACAATTTACCCGAATTTTAATTAATCGAAGTACCTAAGAACGCATAAATTATGCTCCTAATTGAGTCCATATTTTTCTGATAATATGACATTATTTTATTGGTTAACTATGTAAATCGTGTTCACTAAGTTTTTTTTTGATTAAGTACTTAGGGTCAAATCGGCCAGGATGACCTAAAATTTTGAGTTACGTGAAATAATTCACAGTTTCGGGTGGCGTATTTTGTGTAATTAAAATTTGCGCATTTTTGTTTAGAATAAAAAAGGCATACATTATGCATAACCGTATGATATCTATTTGGCCCGAACTCTCAGAAGGTTGTCTAGCTTATTTGGGTGAAGATTTTCATTAAAAAAAATTTTTTATATTATTTTTTTTTTTGACCGATTTTTAGTGGCCAAATTTGCCTGCTAAAATAGACGGTTTAAGGGATAACTTGCCAAGTAAATATCTATCTTTATAGTTTTTTAGTTTTATATTATAATCGAAATATTCAATTATTAAAGGTTTATTTAGGTTTTTAAGAGAATCATTTTTTCTTGAGCTTTATTAATTTTAAAATAAGTATATGGGTATCAAAATCTGCCTCTACAAGATTTTTCGTTATTGCTTTTATATAAAATTCGATACTAATACACTATCTATTTTTAGGATTTATTTATTAGACTTCTCTTTACCCTAGTTTTAGCTAATTCTATTCTTATAATATTATGCAAAATGATTTATATGTAATGATCATATGCGTAATAATTGTATATATAATGATATTATGTATAATGATCATATATATGACAATTCTATCTGATGCTAAGTGTGATATATGATCATTAGAATAAAATAAATAAAAATAAATACTATCCCTTAAACTGTAGACTTTTCCAAGCAAATTTGCCTAGAAAATTATCATAAATATAGTTATGATCTACTTTTTTTTAAATTTTAACAGATTTAAATAAATTTTTTTTTGATAATATTTGAAAATAAGGATTATATTATAGCAGTATTTAATTTTATATTATAAGA